TATATATATATATAACTTTTCAGTTAAGAGGACCCCATACCGCGGAAGAAAATTAATTAAGAGAATAGCAAATTCTCTTCATCCTTCATTACTAATTTAAAAGAAGGAAAAAGTAAGTTCAGGCAAACCTGAAGTAAGTCATGAAATTTAAATTGCTGAAAAAAAATACTTCAAAGTATTAAAATGCAAACAAATTATTAAAAGAGAACTTCACCGTTGCGTAATTCCAAGTTATTTTCTCATAATTTATTTTTACTTGTATATTTTAAAATTTTCTTTTCAGTATTTGAAACTACATGGCTTACTCCAGGTTTCTACACTTTAAATTTTAAATTAGTAAAGAAGGGAAAAGAGAATTCGCAAGGAAAATTATCTTCCGCGGTATGGAGTCCTCTTAAGCGGCCGAAAGTTTTGAGTCCCTTATCGTTAATTTCGATTTTTGTGTATTTTGAAATAATTATGGAACATTCTAAGAAAATGTAAATCTATCTTTTTGAAGTTCTGAGAACATTTAAAAAATTCCATTACTAGAAAAAGCAACTTTGTCAATGAGAACTACATATTGATGTATGGAACTTTATAAATTCATAATCTTTTTAACTCGGTAAGAAAAACTCTGATTTAAACAGGGTTTGTGGTTTATTACTTAGTGAACTTTAAGTTTTTTTAATATCTCAGAAACCAAATAATGGATTTTTCTCATTTTGCACTTCTATTGTCCCTTAAAAGCTGAAAAACGTCACTAAAAAGCAGTTTAGTTAAATTTGCTGTAACTTTCGAGCAAATTAAATTTTCAACACAAAATTCAAGTTAAACTTACAAATCTAAATGACACTTTTTGACGGTAAAATTTTAACCCCGTAGTTGCACAGGGTATAGATGGACCAAGAATGAAATTTTTTCCTTCAAGCTAAACGATAAATAATTCTTGAAGTAGGAGTTAAATCTTAATTTTTTTATTTCATTTTTTTCTACATACTTTTCTAAGTTTTATGTACTTGGTGCTGCAAAGCAAAATTAAAAATTGCAATAACATTTAAACAAATTGGAATTTCAAAAAAATTTATAGCAAATATATAAAATTTAGTTCGCAAACAAATATTTGCTTAGGCATATTTGTTTCGTACATAAACAAATATGGTGCTTTTAACATTTAAAATTTCAACTCTGTAGTTTCATTCATGCAGGCTGTGGAGCGACCAGTATGGTTTGGTTTATTTTACTACAAGTTTAACAGTTAAAAATTTTCAAAATAATAATTAAATCTTATTTTTTATCCATTGTAATTCCTGCATATTTTCTACCCATCTTCTTAATTTCAAGTTTCTAAGTTTTACATTTTTTGTGCAGCAAAGCAAAATGTAACGTTAAGTTGCATTAATTACCTCTGAATAAACGTTTTATATAAACGCATATAAAATCTTTTTGATATGCTGAAACAGTTTATGAAGAATTACTCAAAGAAATGAAGAA